AGCACGCACAGAGCTTGGCGACAAACAAGTCAATTCTCTGGTTGTCGTCACTGTTGAGTTTTGCTTTTAAATCTATCACCTCTGCGTTCAAAACAAACCAATTCGATGGCTGGCGTCAGTTTTGTATAGAGCTCAGTGAATTTTAAGCCAGTTCAATGTGACTACTAGACCTTGTAACGTACCAGGGGCTCTCCCAAACAAACAAGACTTCGCAGAGTTCACAGAGGTGCTAGGAAAGCCCTAGCTCCGTCGGTTAAAAAAAAACATAGACTGATAGAGATTTTAACTCCATGGTTAAAAGCATACAGAGCTCCGCGACAAAACAAGTCAATATGTCACTGTTGAGTTTTGCTTTCAAATCTTTGAGCTATGTGTTCAAAACAAGCCAATTATTGCTGGCGTCAGTTTTGTATAGAGCTCCGTAGATTTTAAGCTAGTTCAGTGTGACTACTCGTGCAGGGGCTCTCCCAAGCAAACAAAACTTAGCAGAGTTCATAGAGGTTCTTGGACAGCCCTAGCTCCGTCAGTAATATAAAGCATGAAGAGCTCTGCGTTCAAAACAAGTCAATTCGATGGCGGGGTCGCAGGTTCAGTTTTGCACTCTTTTGACTTTTGGATTATCACGTTCACACCTAGTTCACAACTGTGCATGGCGTGGCATGGCTTGTTTTGTGTGCGGGTGGCCGTCTCGATTAGGGCGGATGTTGGTTGTAAAATACAGGTCAATAGGTGCCACCCTGCATGATCGGTCACACAACAAAATTCTGGGAAAAAGCATGTTTGTTTGGACTTATTTGTTTTCTATGGAGCAAATATTTTGTCTCTCTGAATATTGTTCCTGTATACTAAAGGTTTAACGAATTAACTTGTCTGGTCACAGAGCTGTTTGTGACAACTCTCGGAGGGCTATTTTAGCAGCTCCGCGGCTAATTTCCGTCTTGTAAACGGTCGCCGCCTTTTGAAACGGTCGATGCCATAGCGCAGAACGGCTAACTTTATGTGTATCAGAATGGTCCTTCCACACAGTGATGTTTTGTGGCGTAGAGGTTAAACGGGTTTAGGTTATGGTTTTAGAGTTTAGACCCGGGTTTGAATCTCAGCTTGCCCTTTTTTTACTAACATTTACAATTCGACATGACCTTCCCTTATACTTCCAATTAGAATATTGCTTTTTATAGTGTATATCACTTTTTATTCGTTTTTTGACCCACAAAAAAGTTATCGTACGCTTCTACACCTAGTAGAAACTCCTTGCTCGGATATGGCATCGACCAGCCGAATGGCATCGACCGTTTACGAGACGGAAAATTGCCGCTCCGCGGTTGGAGCTCCGTAGACTATTTTTTTAATTTGTCGCAGGTTACAGAGCCCTTTATATAGTGAATTAAAGACCTTTATTGTACAACGAATTAACTTATTTTGTCGCAGAGCTCTGCTGGGATATCGCGAATCCGAGGATCTCTATACAAAACTGACGCGAGCCATCGATTTGGCTTGTTTTGAACGCAGACCTAAAAAAATTTAAAGCAAAACTCAACCGTGACGACAACCAGCGAATTTTGTCGCGGAGCTCTGTATGCTTTATAACCGACGGAACTAGGGTTGTCCGAGCAGCTCCATGGAGCTCTGCGAAGCCTTGTTTGTTTGGGAGAGCCCCTGGTACATTACAAATCCTAGTAGTCACACTGAAATGGCTTAAAATCCTTGGAACTCTATACTAAACTGACGCCAGCCACCTAATTGGCTTGTTTTGAACGCAGGGCTCAAAGAGGTGAAATTAAAACTCAACAGTGACGACAACCAGCGAATTGACTTGTTTTGTCGCGGAGCTCTGTATGCTTTATAACCGACGGAACCCGCAGAGCTGCGCCAAAAGAAGTCAATTTGTTGGTTGGCGTCACCGTTCAGTTTTGCTTTCACCTCTTTGCGGTCTGCGCTCAAAACAAGTCAATTCGTCATGGCTGGCGACACAGGTTCAGTTTTGTATAGAGCTCTTGGAATTTAAGGCCAGTTCAATGTGACTACTAGGCTTTGTAACGTACCAGGGGACCGCAGAGCTGGCTATTGCTGCTCTGACAGGTAGGGTTACGTCGGTTTCAAGCTTGCAGTCAATAGCTCTGCGCCGAAACAAATCAATTCCTTAGTTGGCGTCACCGCTTATTTTTGGTTAGACCATTGTAAATAAAGCTATAAGTACAAAACAAGTCAATGCTGATGGTTGGCGTCACGGGTTCAGTTTTGCATAAGAGCTCTGAAGATATCCTGTTTATTGAATATTACTATTAGGCTGAACAGCCAGTACTCTGT